ACACATTCACACCACCTCTCAGCTCCTGTTGGCACACACATTTGCCTCCCGGATCTCATGAACATGGGGAAGTGGGAAGAGCTCGTAACCAAAGCAGAGAGATGTCTAAAGCCTCCCTTCCAAAGGTATAGGTAGGATTATCAGTTACTAGAACTTATTCCTTGTCTCTGCCTTACAATTCAGTTTAGTGGTTAGGAGTCCATGATTATTGCTCCATTTCACTTAATCAAAGACACTGTTGATATTAAGAGGTGTCATTATGCTATGACCACTAAGAAAAAGAACGCTGCTAACAATTTAATTATGGCATCCATGAAATGAAGGATGCATCCTGATTGCAGAGATGTTAAAATGTGAAAGATTGTGCATTTTAATATTAATTTAAAATGGTAATATCATATATGAATAGCACCACACATTAATGCTTTCTAGGTTACAAGTCAATTTCAATTTCTATCATTTCCATTTCTACTCTGTAGCCTTTAAATAGGTTCCAGGCCTCTGGCCTAACTCCCCTTCAGTCCTCCTCCATTCTACTACTGGGACAATCCTTCTAGAATAGAAATCTGACCATGACTCTCCTCTGCCTTGCAGTTCATTGGCATGCATGCCTATCTAGACCAGAACTTGGAAATAGCCATCTCATAACTTGATTCCATGCTTGGCAGTTACATTTTGCATATAAAATGTTTAAAAAAAATTTTTAATTGGACATCAACATTATAAATAGAGACATTTCACATTTAAAGAAAACTAAGACTAGAAACATGGGACTAATATTCCTGGGTAACCACAATTAGCTGAACCTGACAGATGCTACCCCATCAAAATTGAATATGCTTTCTCCAGTGTGCCTGGGAACCCACTAGTCCCATGGTTTTTAATATGTCTTTTTATTCATTTATAAAACAGGCCTGGCCTCTGTAAGCATCAGAATTTGCAATATTTATTACAGACCAGGAACTCTTTGAATTCAGGAGCATTTTACTAATCTACGTCCCCTGGTGCCTAGCACAGAGCCAAGCATATGTAGCTGGAGTTCAAGAAATATTCTCTATATTAAGTTGAATAATTCGATAGAATGATCACAACAGTCCAGCAAAGAGGCAAGGTAGCTATTATGATGCACAGCTGATAAAGAAACTACAGTTTGGGAAGTTAATATCTTGCTCAAAAAGACATAGTTGATAAGGGGCAGAGCTGAGACTGAATCCAAATCTCTGCTCTGTGTTTCAGTATCTCTTACTAAGACACGGTCTTTGTGGCTGTCTGTAAAGACAAGTCACACAACTTTGGTGTCAATACTTTTTGTGAAAAAGTCAATACTTTTTCAATAGGGCAGAGCTGAGACTGAATCCAAATCTCTGCTCTGTGTTTCAGTATCTCTTACTAAGACACAGTCTTTGTGGCTGTCTGTAAAGACAAGTCACACAACTTTGGTGTCAATACTTTTCGTGAAAAAGTCAATACTTTTTCAACTAAGACAAGTCACACAACTTTGGTGTCAATACTTTTTGTGAAAAAGTCAATACTTTTTCAATAGATGAACTAATCACTACATCCTCTACAACCCCACTACTACAGAGCTTATGGCACACTGCCTTGTAGTATAGCTAATTGTGTGCATGTGCCTCCCCAGTGTGACTTGAGGATGAAGGCCTGTAACCAGCCAGTGCCTTTCATATAGTCAACCTGCAACTCTGGCTTGGAGAATTAAAATGAGTTGAATGAATAACTTTCTATTTTTTACCACTTTTATCATAACAATGCCTTAAAGCCTACTTAAAAGGAAGGAAAAAAAGGAAAGGAGGAAGGGAGGGAGAGAAGGAAGAAAGAAGGCAGACAGAATATTGTTATAAAAGAAGAAAAATAAAAATACAGCAGAGTCTACTTATACCTGGTTACTGTTTTCTGCATTTATCAACAGTATTTGTCATGATAAGATTGATAAAGTCATGTTGTTTCTAATCTATCTAGGATAGACTTTATCTATCTAGGCAGATTTAATCCACCTAGGATAGATATTAGCATCATATTTACCCTTTCAGATGTTTGTATTTGTTTCCACCAGTTCATAGCCAATCCCTCTTTATAAATGCAATCATCTGTTTCTTTCATTAAGGCCAGAATATGTGTCTCATTAGTGACATTTCATCACAATGGAAGAGTCAATGTCACAATTAGAAGTAACACTGCTTTTTTGGATAGTGCTGTCTGAGTTGCATTGCCTTGGACTAACAGCCAACCTTGGTATTTCCAGTTTGTTGATTTCCCCCTCTCCCCAAAATATAACATCTTTTTTCCCTCTCTCCTTAGGTAATAGAGTTCATATAGGAATAAATAACTCTTCTTCAAAGTTATGGTAAAGCAATGAGCCCTAAAAGAGTCTTATGCTTTATAGACAGTATTCAATGAGCCAACTTTACTCATCCCAGAAAACAGAAACTATTCGAGGAGTCTTCAAGAAGTTAATGGAAAGATTTGTATTATCTATTTAATTTTTGGATGAACTTTCTGAAGTCCCCTCATATTAGGGATTTTATTATCTGATAACTTCTGGGACGGGCACAGAGATAGTGCACAGCCAGGTAGATCATAAAGAATTGCGATTCAGCTAGACATACACTTTGTCAAGTTTAAATCAAAATATGGAATGTTGGATCACTTTTTTTTTTGGCTATTGCTTAGTAAGCCATTTTGTGTTATAGATAAATAATGTACTTCCTCCTAATGCATTTACTAAATGAAATAATAATAATAATACTTACATAAACCGACCATTACTATTTATAATTACCTTCTCGCCATACATGAAAAGCTAAGGTACAGAGGGATTAAGTAACTTGTGTAAATTACATCAAGTGCTTCAGTTCTTTCCGCATGTAGTATAAACCTGTCCTTCTTTCTTAGCAACCTATCTTCATACACCCTACTAAAAGTTATTCTTTCAATATTATTTACACCTTTTTTAAAAATATTACTCCACTGGTTTTAGGATTCTAGATTTATTTTAAAAAGAAAATACAATTTTTACATTAAGACAATATGGGCCCTTTGTTTAAAAATTATTAAGAATTTTAACATAGCCATTGCGGAGCATCAAACCAACTGCAGAGCCCTGTGGGTCTGTCCAGGTCACATGCCCATGAATCTGGCCCTGACCAGAAGCAAAGCGCTTGGCCTCCTTTACCATCCGAGTGCTCATCTACACAAGTGGCATCATCACACCTGCTTTCCCCACCTCAGGAAGTCACTGTAAGGATCACATAACTTCAAAACTTTTGTAGGCTATAAAACACTCTAAAAACATAAGTTTGTGTTACAACTATTGGCTGATGCATATGATTTTTTAAAACTTATTTAACAAATATTATAAAACATTTCCTACAGGCCAAGCTTTAAAAAAATGAGTATTGCTTATTCCCCTGTGAAACCTAAATTCTTTCTTAAAACAATAGGTTTTATCATG